ATCTTCTGGACGGTGTTCAGAACGTGCTGCTCGGCAGAAACGTTGTTGAGAGCCAGGTAGACTGGGTTACGATCAGGCGGGGCGGCGTTGGGGTTGGCGGCCTTGACCTTGCGCCAGTCGCGTACGACTTCCAGATCCTCAAGGCCTAATTCTAGAGCCTCCATGATCTTTTCTCCGGCCATGAGAGTGCCGGTCGTCTGCTTGCCAGCATCGACGGCCTCGGCCTTCTCGCCATCTTCACCGTCCTCCTCCTGCTCGAGGGACGCGGTGAGTGTGTTGTCGTAAGCCTCTTCCATCTCCTTCTCACGTTCTTCCTCCAGGAACAACGGCTCGTCGGTTTGTTGCCAGATGCGGATGCTCTTGTCGTGACTGGCACTGACAATGAAATCACCAGTGTGACTCATGGCAAGTGCCCAGATCTCACCGTGGTGACCAACGAGGCGCTGAATTTGCTCGAACTTGTCACCGTCCCAGTATTTGATGTTGCGGTCCTTGCTAGCACTGAAGAAGTTGTGACCGTTTCCATCCTTGTTGTGAGGAACGAATGCCACTGCCATGATGCTGTCCTCATGGGCCAAGAAAGCCTTGTGACAGTCACCAAAGTCCAAACCCCAGAGTCGAACGGTCTTATCAGCCGAGCAAGTGACAATGAGTTTGCTGTCGTAGGAAATATCCATGCTCAAGACAGGAAGCTTGTGTCCGTAAAGGTTGAGGAATAACTTCAGCGAGTCGACAAAGAAGACCTTCACGGTGTTGTCCAAGAGGGAAACTGCCAGAAGTCGTGCATCCGGAGAGAAACGAAGATTGAGGATATCATCGTTAACCTTCAGCGTCCTTGTGTGTGCCAGCTTAAGGCGGGGGGTGGTACGTTTGGTTCCCGGGATCTCCTCCTGGACAACCTGGAAATTCCAAAATTTGGCTGTCTTATCTGCGCTTCCACTGACCATAGACTTGCCATCTGGGTGCACGTTAAGTGACCACACGGGTCCGTCGTGGGCTTTGATGGTGTCGAGCAATGTTGAGGATGCGATATCAAACACCTCGAGTTCTCCGTTCTTGTTACCAACAACGACAATCTTATCACCAGGAAGGAATGCGGAACACAGGGAATATCCACACTCTAGTGTTCGTAGACAGCTCTCGGTGCGAACGTTCCAGATCTTGAGAGTGCCATTCGAAGCAGAAGCAAGCATTCGGTCGTCGGAGCTCAATGCAATCGACCGGATATCTGTTCGGTGACCAGGAATATCCACTGCCAAGCTCCGAGTATAGTCCGGATCCTCGCTGTCGGTGTTCTTCTTGTTCGCTGGCACAATGTTGTAGGCCTCAAGCTGGTTGTTTGTTGTTGCGGCGAGCAGGTTCAGACCACTTGACTTATTGGTCATCCAGTCGAAGGAACGAACCTTTCCACCAGTGCGCACGATAACATGTTGGACAAAGACTTCAGATACAGGAGCGGCGGAAACATCCTCAGGCTTGTCGTTATCCTCTTCCTGTCCGTTTTCCACGGTGCGAGCCTCCTTCTCCTTTCTTCTCTTCTTCTTCCGGGCCATACTCTTTTGTACCTCCGACTGAGAGCGAATGCGCCAAACTTCGACCGACTTGTCGGAACCGTGGAATCCAACGTAGTCTGAACGGGGGTGGAATCGGATGCCAAGTGTGCGGTCCTTCCCATGTCGGTAGAAAGTTCCTCGTTCTGTGAGGATTCGGCGACCATCGGCGCCCACCTTCTCCTTGGAAATCTCCATCATAGCCGCCTCGTCGATCGACCAGACCCTGAGTTCACCATCGTTGCCGGCCGTGATACATCCGCCCTGGTCAGGTGAAAGACCCAAGCTCCAGCACTCGCCATTTGACTGTGCCACATGTGTTTCAATGCAGTGCTGAGAGGAAAGATCCCAGACTTTGATCAATGCATCCTTTCCGGTGGTCAATAGGAATCCTGAGTGTTCATTCAATCCGGAAGCAGTAAGCAATTCTGGGGAAGGGAATAGGAATTGTAGCGATGTGATCTGGTCGGTGTGTCCGCGAAGTCTGAAAAGACCGGTTTCAGTGATCAAATCCCAGAGGATGATATCGGTATCTTTTGAACCACTGGCGAGGCGCACGCCTGCGTTGTCAAAGGCCAACTTGGTCACGGCGGATTTGTGACCGTTGAAAGAAATAATGACCGTGGCGGTGCGCGAATCCCAAAGACGAATACTTCCATCCTCGTAGCTGAGAAGCCAAATAATAGTTAGAGAAAAATCATCGCACTAGGTCACACCGGAGGACACTCACCCAACTGCGAAGATATCTTCATCTGTCATGCTCTGAGTGACCACACTAACCTGCGCTCTGCAGGCAGAATCGCGCCATCTTCCAAGAAGTTCTCCCTTTTTCACATCCCAGCACAGAACTTCCTCACTTGCGCCGACAATGGCTCGTCCGGCGCCCGTCTGGCGCGCAATGCCGGTCTGGTCATCTTTAGCCCAAACCGCATTCGAAGACGCCGAGGCGACGAGCCCGAATGTATTCGAATGCTCGAATTTACTGTGTAAGAGTTAGCGCCCAGATCATAGGATCCCAAATCACAAAAATTCGTACGTACAAGTATGATTTCACCATCGTTGAGGGTGGATGGGAAAATTTTTGGAATCTCCGATTGCTATCGATAGGACAAAATTAAATACGGGCGGTGACAGCGACCTCTACGGCTCCCCCCCACCGCCCATGACGATCACGGGCAACCTCACAACAGCCACCCACCTGCACTGCATACCATCCATTGTCCTGCCCGTCATGCTTCTCTTAGATTACCAAAATGCTTTGATTCAGTCGCTCCTTACGGAGCGTTTTTCTGGGTATGACTCGTTCCTCTTCCCGCACTGCCATCCGGCGCATTGTATACACATACCCCCGAAGCAGGCACCCGGCTAACAAGCTGAACTCAGAGCACCCCCCGCCTCCATTGACCAAGTGGTTTCCGACTTCGACGGTGTAACATTCCACCTCTCCACTCCCGAGTCTAAGACGAAGATCCTCATTTCGATCAATGTGAAGTGCTACAGGGAGCTGGTGCAATACGGAGCCCAGGAGGTGTTGGAGAGAGAATACGGTCCCTACATTGTATCTCCGGAGCCGGGATATGATTTCTCTGTACAAATCGATCTTGAAAACCTGCCCGCAGAGGAGGAGGCCCGGAATGACCTGATTATGAAGCTTGCCCTCCTGAAACGGAACGCAATGGCTGCTCCTTTCGAGAAAGCATTTGATGAATTCAACAAGCTCGCCGAGGAGGCTTCCAGATACACCTCAGAGTCAGCACCACAGGGTATCCAGGAAGGCGGTGAAGTTATGGCAATTCACTACCGTGAAGAGGAGGCCATCTATATCAAAGCCAACTGGGACCGAGTCACAGTGATCTTCAGCACCGTGTTCCGTGAAGAGACAGACCGGATCTTTGGCAAGGTCTTCCTGCAGGTTCGTAATTTGCCACAATTGGTCTGCGCATCCACGAGGAGCCCTTATTAACAGCCTATAGGAATTCGTGGATGCCCGGCGACGTGTCTTGACGCTCCAGAATGCCCCTCAAGTCCTGTTCCGTAACGACCCTCCCCTTGAGCTTGCAAATGTTCCTGGTCTGAACGCTTCTGGAGGCGAAGTTAGCTATGTCACCTTTGGTATGAATGCACAATGCGCTATCAACCTCCATTTCGTATACGTACTGACTCGACTCGACTTGCAGTTCTGTTCCCTCGACACTTGACCCCGCAGCGTCGTTATGAAAACATTTCTCATATCCAAACCTTCCGCGATTATTTCCACTACCACATCAAAGCTTCAAAGGTATGCGACTACTCTTGGTCTTGTTTACATCCATGGATGATTTCAAGACAACAATGACTAACCATACATCACAGGCCTACATCCACACTCGAATGAGGAAGAGGACAGCGGACTTCCTCCAGGGTATGAATCATCCACTTCAACAAAGTATACTTATCGCTAACTCACGACAGTGCTCAACCGAGCTCGGCCGGAGAATGAAGAACGAGAGCGCAAGACTGCTAGTGGTCGCACATTCCGAGTGCAGGGGTAGAGCCTCGAATTTCTTTGTTTGTATGAGCCAATTCAAGTCTATTGTTGATACGCATTTTCTTTGGCGACATGGTCCCTGGCAGCATCCCGAGGCCCATCTTGTAGTGTTCAAATTGCATAGTCTCAGCACTTAAACCTACCTTCAACAACTACTAAAGCCATTGTCCTTAATCAACCGAATCATGTCTCTTGACCTCTCACTTTTGAGATCTCTATGTTGACCTGTAGGCATACCATCTGCAATATTATCTATCCAGTTACCCGGAAACCCATCTGTTAAGCTACTTAGTAATATGATTAGCTACCCGTGGATAGGTGGACATGTTTACCTGCATATATACATATGTATGTACATGGCAAACAATCTGATTATCCACCTATCAAATCAGCTATCTAGGCATGTAGGTACCTGCTCAGGTGCAAGGTAGACCTAGATAGCAAGCCATCCGTACGTTTGGCTCGTTAACCGTCTCGTAACCACGTAACTGGCGCAATTGACCGTCCCATGCCCCGTTAACCATGTGATTGACCTGCCGGATCAGATATCTAACGAACCAATCACGCAAATCGTGTTGCCAGCCGCTTCCAATATTGGCGCAATGCGCGATGCCAACCGTTCTTCTTCCATTGATATTACATTGGCAAGTACTATACCTTAGCAGGTACCTCCAATGTTGATAAGACGGGATTGGTCCCTTCACTTTTTAAGTTACTGCGGTTCCTGCGTTTCCTGGTCTGGGTCGCACCTGCCAAATGTGGAGCGTTCGCTATACTTCAATTGTTAAGATGAAAGAAACGAAGATTGTAGGAATTGAAGAAATCATATAAATACCCTTATTCTTGTTTGTCCTTCTCTTCCTTCTTCCTTCTACAATAATCTCGACTTGTGAAATCTGCGATGCAAATACGTGAAATACAACATGGCACCCAAAACCGGTCTATGGGGAGCTGCTCTGTCCAAACTACGAAAGTCACAAACAGAGCCTGCCCAACCTACACGTGAGCCAACCCAGGAAAAGGTGGTCTATCCTCGTTTTAAACGCCCGGTGTCGAACGAGTCCCCCATTTATTCTGAATTCATGTTCCCACCCACTCCTCTCCCAACTCTTCCCATGGCGTCCGATTCCAATCTAAATCCTCTGGCAATGGCTTCTACCATTTCCCAGGCCCGCCTTGGTGCTCTGCGCTCAGGCAAGGACTTGGAGTTATTTTTTCAACGGGGTAAGGACTGTATTGATGCTTATGCCCAGGCCACCAAGGCTATGATGGAAGATGCTTGTGCCCGCGTCAAAGATGGAGAGGATCCTCCATATGAAGAGATTGAACAGATGAAACAACGCTTCTTCAAATACTGCCAGTCAATCGTGGAGGAAGGATTGTCCCTGATCTCAGGCGATGCTACCAGTCAGTCCCGGCAGGTCAGCGACTCGACCATGCCTTCTCTGGTCTCCTCAACTTCCGCCACGACTGAGTCTGAGCCGAAAACTCCCCTGGATTCTGGCTCGTATGGTGACAGATGGGAATTTTCTGAGGCATTGGTAAGTGGTTTGGCTCCATTATTGCTTTGACTTTTCAAGAATTTGACCCTAACCTGTAATAGCTCGCGTCTAGCGGCCAGCGCCGCCTTCGTCTCTACACCGTCAGCAGCGACGACTGGGTCATGGTCCCATCGATGCCCTCGCCCACCTCTCCAACCAAGGTTGTGGTCCCCGAGAACATGGACCCTGTGGAGGAATCAATTCATCTCGGTGTCATCGTGCGCATTTTCAGCAAGTTGTACGCTGTGTCGAAGATGATGGAGACAATCATCTTGTATTACGGTGCTGAGGTATGTCTTGAGATTACAACTTTCCTCTTGCCCCATACTTCTATCTCTTGCTTCTTGGAGATATAACTACTAACGCCGACTTTCTCCTCTTAGCCCGACAACTCCAAGACCGGCCTGCTATACTGGATCAAACGCAGCGAGAAAAACGTGCGCACCCAGAAGATGGCTGTGCTGATTGACACTGTTGAAAATCTCTATTATGCCCTCTACGCCTGCATTACGATTGAGCTGGCCAGCATTGAGCTCTGCGGTTCCTTCCGAATCGACACTAGTGCATTGCGAATCGAGCTTCCATTCCTTATGCCAGAGGCTGATCATCTCTACCGCATCGTCATAGCATTCAAGGATGTACTGGACTCTCCGGAGATTTGCGCAATCCGTCGGAAGGACGTCATTGACCACTTTCAGCAAGGATATATCAATCAGACTGTTGCAAAAAAGTCAAATCCGGATGAGGTCCCCTTTGACGCCCTCGGATATCGCCCGTTTGCGAAGAGAACTGTTTCTTACCGACACGGATCCTATTGCCAGAAATGGAAAGGACTGATTCCATGCTTCGACTCCATCTCAGCAGAGACCATGGCAAAAATGTCAGAGAAGTATTTCACCATGTATCCAGTCACTATTCTGCGTGCCGACATTCCATTTGAGGAGCTTCCATGGATCTACCCGGAAGATATTGGCATGGCTGTCTGGGACACGCATATTGTAGCGGATAACCGCTTGTCTAAGCGTGCTCAAGAGCTGGGAACAAGCATCGGAGAAGAGCGCAAGAAATCATCCGCCCCCAGTCTTTACCACCTTGTCAGACAGCGAAAGTGCATTTGCAACTCCATCTGTTCATGCTCCTTGGAGTGTACCCTAGAGGTGCAGCGCCCCTGCCCTTGTGCGGAACGCCTTGTACGCATCATGTCGACCAAGCGTGGTCTTGCATACAGAAAGAGTGGACCTACTTTCGCCGCTACTGCTTCTACTACTGCTCGCATGTTCTTCGATGGCTTAGCTCAGCTCAACCGTGATGTTAAGGCCACTGATATTACAAATGAATTGGGCAATGCTTTCGAATTGTTCTCTCTGTTGATCTCCACGGAACGCGAGATGACTCCCAGGGATGACACCCAGGCAAACCTCTAAGATCGCGGTCCTGTGACTCCCGCCACGACTTACGATTACGATTACGACAACACTTATGGTTAGGATTCACAGCTCACGAGTTCACGAGTTCTAATTCAATCTATTAACTACAACACTAATCCAAATGGAAGCAAGGATTCCCAGAACAGTGGGTATTCTGTCATCCGAATCTCATGGAAACCTTCTAAAAGGAATTCAACTTACAACTCGAAGACGACAAAAAAAAAACAGAGGAAAAAACGAAAACAACAAAAAGAAAAGGCACCACGAAAAGGAGGAAAGGTTCGTCAACCCCACAGGGAAAGTGTTCGATGAGGAGAAACCATCGAAGGGTGAATAATATCATTTGACAGCTATCGGAAACTGATCATGAGCCATGTCATTTATTTGATGGGAACCATCACGAGAGGTCTACATATCCAGTCTCGAAATGAAATTAGTTCAGCCCCAGCTGCTACCTAATGTTTCGTATAAAATCGTCTATCCCATATCCGACGGCCCAACCTCATTACCAACAGCAGAACAGAGGGCTGCACCTTCAGGAACCTATCATTAGTGATATATTTTTGGTAATAATCCCTCCACCGCATTAACAAGCAAACCATCTTCGCCGGTATCATGGGGTATTTTGAAGTATTCCCCACCTCCAGCCAGCTCAGCGATTTGCGCCAGGCCGGCTAATATTATTTTCACGCTAATTATCCCATAGTAGGCGACATATAAATCAGATTCCGCTTTTTGGACTTCTTGCTAACCCTGTGCTTTTTGTAGTCAGTTCTGAGGGTATTCTGCATCTCCTCGCTGGCTTAGCTGGTAGCTTTTAAACGAGGAGATTGCTCTGATTTATCTTCTGGAGCAATATGGGTAATTTAGGGGGAAACATCATCTGAGGATCATGAGATCGGCAGGGATATAGATAAGTAAACATAGCCCTAAGAGCCCCGGAGTCTTTGTATTGTCGACTACCCTTTTGAATAAAACAGATAGATTTTGGACGAATCTAACAAAATAACAAAAATAAAGAAATGAACAAATATTAAAAGAGGGACAAATGTCAGAGATACCGAGATTTGAATGATTTTCATATTCTCAGAGATACTCCGTAGTGTAAGGTACAGTCGGCGGCGCAGACCAGTGAAATCTTCGAGACATTCTCGGCCTTTATCGGTGAGTCGCACTTTTTCTTTTCGCAGTGCTCTCAAGCCCAGGTCTCAGTCAACACTTTGTTTTCTGCTCTCTTCTCCTACCCTGTCTCTTCATTTCTTCACTTTTCATGTCTTAATGCCCCAGTACCCATTCGCCGAGCCCATCTTGGTGCACAGAGAGCCAAGTTAGGGATGGTGACCAAGGCAGCGGCCGTGTCACATTCATTATCATCATCATGGACGTCCATTAGCAAGTGGATCGCAAACATAAGCATAAATAGAACCCCGATCCAGGGTGCCCGCCTCCGACAACCGAGCACCGCACGGCCATACCACGCGGCAGTGTGGCCCTCCTACGGCATCACCACTCCCGTCCCCGACCAGCCATTCCTTTCCCCCAAATCGCCCTTCCGATTCGAGACTGGCTACGCTCTATGTGCCAAACGACCCTCACGACCCTTCCCTCCACCTTTCCTTTCCCCACCGTCTTCGTCCTTCTCCGATCCCTTGACAACTCACGGGCTAAGCCAGGATAAGAGATTATCCGTCAAGGGCGAGCTAGTCCGCGGCTTGAACAACGGAGACGATGCGATCATCGTCGCGGAGAACTTCATAGGCGTCGACGATGGCGTAGGCGCGTGGGCTACCAAACCTCGTGGTCATGCTGCGTGAGTGGTCTCAATCTCAATTTGTACATCATGCCACCATCGCTGACTTTTTCATTACCAAATACAGACTCTGGTCTAGACTCTTATTGCATTTCTGGGCCCTCGAGATCGAAAAGAATGTCGATCACCGCGTATCTACCCTCGACCCCGTCGGATACTTGCAGTATGCATACGAGGAGACCTTGCGGGCAACCACATCTCCTACTGAGTGGCTCGGAACGACAACCTCGGCCACTGCCATACTACACTGGTCGAAGGAACAAGACGGCACACAGAAGCCATTGCTGTACGTTACGAACCTCGGCGATTGTAAGATCCTCGTGATTCGACCAAGCGAGAAAAAAGTCCTTTTCCGCACTGCCGAGCAGTGGCATTGGTTCGATTGTCCCATGCAGCTTGGGACAAACAGTATCGACACGCCCCAGAAAGATGCAGTCTTGTCCAAAATTGCGGTACAGGAAGACGACGTCGTCTTGGCGCTTTCGGATGGCGTCATGGATAACCTCTGGGAGCATGAGGTCTTGAAAGTCATTGTGGACAGTATTGATAAATGGGAGGAAGGGCGCGCGGCGTCAAAAGATGTTGCACAACATGATCATCTATCTGATGATCGCAATGTCTATGTCGCCAGGGAACTGCTTAGTGCTGCTCTGACGATTGCCCAGGATCCCTTTGCGGAGAGTCCATTCATGGAGAAGGCAGTGGAAGAGGGTCTGGCAATTGAAGGAGGAAAAATGGATGATATCTCCGTCGTGGTTGCATCCTGCAAGAAAAGTGATGGATGAGAGGCAACCATTGGTTTTTCGATCAGATTTTCTTTCATAAATATCAGCCGATCTTGAATTCCCCGCCTGTCTCAGACTTGCGCCAGATTCATTGATACTGAACCTCGGACAATTCCCTGTCTAGCGTCAAAAGCTTGTTCACCTACATTTGCTATCGCGCGGCTCTGATGCCTTGCAAGTATCGAATCAGGACTGAGACATGTTGTGTTGCAGTCAAACAGCCACGCCACCAAGCCTCGGGAAGTGACTTCCACATCGCCTGGATTAATCTGTTTCCCAGTCCTCCAGCGTAAGGCTTGATCGCTTAGCCTCGCCTAGTCATCATCATACTCCTCATCCATTGATGTCTTCCACCGGCTCAGACAACTTTATAGCCAGTGCAGAATATGTATTGGTGGTTTATGAGCAGACGAAATCCTTGCTGCCAACCTGTTAATCTCAAACTGTCAAGCTGATGATTCCTACCTATACCCAATATCCCATCTACCAATTTGAGACCTTTTTCATTATGCATTCACCTGAGAGGGATTCCATTACTGGCACGATGTGACTTGTCTGTCCATCGTTTAATGATCATTTTTAGTATAAACAGAACACATAATATAATCTCTTCGACTTAATATATAGTATGCTGTATCCTCATCTTCAAGCCTGCGGATATCAGTAAATGCGAAGTATAGGGTACTTAATCTCAAGGTTAGATGCCCCACTTGAACAAAGTACTGGGTACCTCACCCTCAGCACAGACCACAACACTGCTGCTCCCGCCCGGCAGAATGAAAAAAGTTTCGGTCGACATACAAGCTCATGTCTTTTTGCTGCCTTCAATCTTCAAATACTTGACATTCACCGTTCACAATGAGGGCCAAACGTTCAAAGAAGTATCGCAAGCTTATGCACCAGTATGAGCTCACTTTTGGTTTCCGAGAGGCCTACCAGGTCCTGGGTATGTTCCATTCAACGCATTGCTCTGATGTACAATACTGACTTGCGCTCCAATAGTTGATTCGAATTTCCTACGTGCCACCGACTCCTTCAAGATGGAGCTAATTCCTGCACTTGAACGAACAGTCCAAGGCAAGGTCAAGCCTCGTGAGTCGCCCGAATATCAAAGTCCCCATCCACCAAGACGCATCCAATCTAACCATCTCGCAGTATTGACAAAGTGCTCTCTCGCCGCTATCATGGCCGCACAACCCATCAACCCCAAAACCGAAAAACCATACAGACCTCTCTTCCTTCCCCCGCCCACAGAACTCCCGCTCCGCCACTGCTCGCACAACGCGGACTCCACGCCCATCGACGAAATCGAGTGTCTCCTCTCACTGCTTTCACCGAACGCAGACTCAAAGAAGAACAAAGAGCACTACATTCTCGCATCCGCGGATCCAATCTTGAGAAAGACGAACAATAGCGAGAACCAGCCCCGCAGACGGAAGACAGAGGAGGATCGCAAAGAAGAGGAAGCTATGCGCCGTTCTCACGCATTGCGCTCCGCTGCCCGCTCTATCCCCGGTGTGCCTATCATCTACGTCAAGCGCTCGGTGATGGTCCTCGAGCCGATGAGTGGTCCCTCCGAGATGGTGCGGGACGGCCATGAGCGTGGGAAGTTCCGCGCTGGATTGGATGTGGATCCTATGCTCGGCAAGCGCAAGAGAGACGGCGAGGCCGAGGGTGAGAGTGCTGATGAGGCGGAACCTAAGAAGAAGCGCGGGCCTAAGGTCAAGGCGCCTAATCCTCTCAGCGTGAAGAAGGCTAAGAAGAAGGTCGATGCGCCTGCACCGAAGAAGGATAAGGCTGTCCGGAAGGAGGTTGATGTCGCAGATGCTACTGAGCAACGTGATGACGAGGATACTGCCGCGGCCAAGCCTAAGAGAAAACGTCGTCATGCTAAGAGTGGTCCTCGTGAAGACTTCGAGGAGGCCGCCGAGCCTAATGAGGCTATGGAGGTTGACGCTTGATTGAATCTTTACGGCATAGGCGACTCATGATGCTGGTTATCATTGCATGCATTCTCAACCTTATTTCACTCTTAGGGTGCGGCGTTCAGATCGGATGGGTTATATCTAAAAGTTCAGCTGATGTATACAATAGTAATGTACATCTGATATCATTCAAGAGATCACATAACCCCCAGTACATCGTACATTAAGTATATCGAATATTGGATGCAAGTTCAAGCTTGTTTTGTCACTATCACTTTAATTCTGTTTTTGTACTTGGTTCTATATAGTCCCATCGACCTTCATCTTCTCGTTGTACTTCGCCCGCCCGCTTTTCCATTCTCATCTTCTTCAAACTTAGCAAGAGACGGATGTTGAGTGGCGTGTCCTTTAATGCGGCGAGAGGGACTTGAGAGCTCATGCCGTTTCTCTAATTCTGACGCCCGTTTTGCCTCTGAAAGAACCCGATCTATCATTTCACCCGAGCGAACGATGGTGACTGGGGTGATTTGTTGTTGGTCTAGCATGTCTTTATCGAGGTAGACCTTTCGTTCCTCATATGGGTTGCCATGAAGGTATGCACCATACTTCACTAATTTTCTTGGATCAGCTGCGGTTATCCATGTCTAATGCATGCCCAAGCCTTTCAACAGATCGTTAAAGGCATAAAAATCCGAAATGAACCACCCATCGTCTGATGGATCCGCGGTCGAGACTATGGGGTGGGTTACCGCAAGAATGACGGTATTGTCAAATACACAGGGTACCGCCGACGAAACAAATGTAGAGGGGAGTGTTACGTGCCAGGTTGATCAATGAAGAAAGAGTGTATTCCAATGAGAATAACAAAGACAGAGAAAAGAGAGAGAGAGAGAGCAGGTGGGGGATCTCTGGGGTTTAAATTGTAGAGCCTCCCACGTATCAAACATACCCCCTTTCCCGATTAGGACTAGTAGCAATCTGTATGCGAAGGGGCAGAGCGGCCAAAGGTCTTCATTCTTGTGAACTACTAGGCCAACGGGTGATCTGTTATAATTCAGGTAACTATTTTAATTTCTGCCAATCTATGTAAACCAAGGCCTAATTCAGGCATATTCAAGCACCAAGCCTACAAAATCAGGCATTTGACCTTTGGCCGCTCTGCCCCTTCGCAATCTGTAGAACAAAGAAACAAGGGAAACAATGAAAGCAAGCATGCATATGTGCATGTGACAAAGCATGTGATCACGTAGATCGTGACAGGGAGCTTGTATGGTATTCGGGCATGCCCGCCGTTAATGAGAGGTTGCTTTTCTGGTAGAGTGGCCATGATGTTCGCTGTAGAGTGAGGTGAAAACGTCTACGGCTGTAGTTCTCCACCGTGGAATCAGCCTGTCGTAATTATTAACTAGTTACTACTATATGTAAAAAAATATTCCATTTTTGAAAGTTTCGTGGCTTGCTTATTATCTATGGATGGGTTCCAAAGGTTACATACCTACCTTGGAACCCTAGCTCTTTAAATATACCTGTTCAAGGAGGATATAAGAAGGCTTGGAGAGCTCCATGCCGACTTGATTAACTACAAATTCACTGACCCTGTTCGGTTTGACGAGAAATTTCAGTTAATCAACTGGCAAGATCCTGAGCTGGTAGAAGAGGCTCCTCCGGACAATCTGAACACAGACGCGCACCGAGCAGGCTCTCCTCAAAAAATTAGCAACTATTTCCTAGACAAAGGCAAGGGACGCTATCAAGCAATATCACAAACTATAGATAGGCAATAGCCAAAGCTTACAGATATCATTGGAAGGCGAGTGAAACCCAAGGTGAACCAGAGCCTGTTCGTGTTGCAGTTTCATGGTACAGCAGAAACAGCATTTTATTTGCCCTTAGTTTCAGTGGACCCTGATTTGGGCAGCTCTCCACCGCCCCTTTTGTGAGCATGAGTACTCTCGATAGAATCGCTGCTACTGTTGCTATGCCATTCGCCAGAGTCCTCTCTACTGATTGGTTATATTCCTGGTTCATCCCCTGATCATTCCCCGAGACAAGCCTTCGGTTACAGCTAGGAAGCAGGTAACTATATGACCTTTCATGTTTATCCAATTAAGGGTATTATAACCCAGGAGATAATAGCTGCCATACGTGTATGTCATGGCGGTTTAGGTGATATTCTAATGCTTAAGATATATATATCCAAATATCCAAGCAAATCGTGTTACTGTAGCCGAATTTAAAGCACGGAGATACGAAATTCTGATTAATTCTCTCAATTTCCGAGAAACAGCCATGGGTTCAGAGAAATCGTATCGGCACACTTGGGAATGCCTACGATGGACGAGTATTTCTGGCGATGGACCTAGTTGAAGCATACATAGATAGGCGACAATGGTGACCCACTGACCTACGACAACGGATCATTGGAATATCTAGTGACAGAGAAAGCAAGAATAAACATACCTTCGAAGAGAAAATCTTAAAATATAATACAATGTAAGGTACCGCTTTCAGCTCATCTATGTATTTTTACCGAGCCTTCCGCAAGCGCTGAACAAATACCCAATATATTGTCCCCGAAAGTCCGCTGCTTAGAAGGTCCAGTCTGCTATAGAGAGGGTTATGAGATGGCCTGTCGGGAAAACACTGAACAAGGACCTTTCTTCGACCTATGCCCTAGAAACCCAATCCCTCAGAAAGGCGCGCACACCGAGCGCTTCTTACCTCCGGTGACCGACACAACTGACATCGGTAATCTTACGGCTTGGACGACACGGCAGGTTGGACACAGCTTGCATATGATTCAAAGACTCATATGCTCGTGTCCACCACACATGGTTTGCCAATATCAAAGCTCACGCCATTTGACTCGAGCGGTTATGACCACATTATCGAGTACGTGGCTGATATGGTTCCCAAAGAGTCTGGCTCTCATTATTTTGGCACCTATGGCATTGGGCCTACGCAGACATTTGTCAATGACAATCTGATCTATGAGCAGACGAGCCATACTGCAGACCCAACGGGTTTTATATTTGACCTTCAAACAGAAGGTGTGGCTTCCTATACTCTGCAGGTACAACGTATCGTTTACGGATTCGAACTCTGCCTCCTCCGGCGGTTCCTGTCCCTCAGAGCAAACGTGACGTTATCTATGCGGTGATAGAGTTTCGTAACCTAAAGGTCGGCCGGAAGGTGGAAGTGGAGATCTACCTTGAATGCTGGTCTTGCGTCGTTCTTGTTCCAGTGCGAGCAGCGCGCCACCTCCGTTACATGTGGATTTACGTGGAGTTGGCCTAATACACAAAACAAGAAAATTGACCGAATCAAAGCAAGTGAGACTTGTTATTGAATAGACTTAATTATCCGCTTCAGTCCCTCTTCTAAAACGTCCAGCGGGTGCGAGAAAACCAGCCGAAACCATCCTGTTTTTTCCGCCCCATAATGTTCCCCAGCCGCAATGTAGATTTTCTCTTTTCGGAGCCTTGCAAGAATATCCTCAGATGTGGCATCTTTTACCACAGCGCCTAAGTTAATCCAGATGAAGAAAGCAGCGTTGCACTCAAGATAAGGAATTCCATGGGACCGTAACCACTTTGTCGCAAAATGATAGCTGTCGGCCAAGCGTGACCTATTGATCGCAATATACTTTGTCATGAAGCTGTCATCTAGCAAGAGCGAGGTGGTAACCTGGTCTGCTAGACTGGATGGAATATTGTAGAGGCTAATTGGGGAAAGATGGTTAGTGTCTTTTTCCCCCATAAGTAGGTCATGTAATCTCACGAAATGCCCTCTGCGGCCTCCAAGAGCAGCTTATTCGATTGACTAACCAAGCAGCCAATCCTTAGTCCGGTTGCACCGAAATCCTAGTGAACGCTGTCAGTTCCATTTGGGCTTGGGTTGAAGGGAGAAATGCCATACCTTACTTAAGCCCCATACAGTATGTACGAGGCTTGGATCAATGATCCCCTTCAGGTTTATAGACAGAACCGATTTAAAACCTGCCGCATCGGGAAGACGAGGGTTATCCCAGACAGATAGCGCGTAGATCTCGTCGGAAATAAGGTGAAGTCCATTCCTCGAGCATAACTTCAAGTATTCTATTAAGACATCTTCAGGGTAGCAACGTCCTAGGCTTCCTATTAGTAAAGGTCGGACGATTTCTCTCAGGTATGTCGAAAAGACAAACCAAGGGGATTATGAGGTGAGCACAACACAAGAGCCTTAATCCGTAAGCCTCTGTTTTTCACTTCAGTAAATGCTCTTTCGTACTGTTGGATTGCGGCCATGCTGAATGGATCTATTTCTCCAAACTCCACTTCAAGAAGCTGGACTCTGAAATCGTAAGCTCAGCCCTACCAGAAAATTTAGAGATATTCCTTACCCTGGTCGGCTTCCAAAAGTCGTCCTAAATGCATTGAAATACGGCCGTCCGACCATAAAAAAATCTCCAGGATCTGCTAAAGCCCAGGCGCAACATTCGAGTGCATTGCTGACGCCAGATGTAACGACAAGATGGGAGGAGCAGAGTGCAGAGTGAGGAGAAAATTGACTGTTCATGAAGTGACAAAGCATTTGTTTGAGCTTGTGGGAGCCACTGAACCCATCTCCGTAGGTCAATACATGTGAATTGGGTCGTAGCTGTAAGGCCTTAATTAGTACGAAAGTGAGAGTCCACTGACGACGTATCGACCGAGAAAGAGCTGAAGCCTTACATGAGAATTGATGAAGCCCACCATCTCCGTGTGCATGAGTGTCTAGAACGTTCTTAGCTTATGTTGAGTAGGAGCCTGGTTGTTTTCTCACATTCTCGGCAAGGCCTAGATTCACGATTCCGTTAGGGTTCGATGATGGAGACCATTGGTCACTCAATACAGCGAGGAAAGATGGCCTCTGCGCAGCAAGGTCTTTGCCTCGACCAGAAACCTTGCCTTGCATGGTGAATAGTGAACTTAGAATTCAGCCGATTGCAAGTTTAGATTGGAAGGGAAACCGGCATTCTTATATACCGCGTAAGGTCTCGATGACGGAATTATGTAAATTTTATTAGAGTAGAGTAGATGTTCTCAGAAGGCGCAACACTACTGCGGCACAAACGGGTAAAGCGGTAAGAGCGGGTGATATTCTACAGAGGCTTTATGAGTATAGTCCCGCTGATATTTTCTTATACCGTTCCTTACCTCGCTTCTTTTCTTTACTTCACAAATCAACAGATATCAGAATCTGTGCTGTCTTTCTTCTTGGTCATTATCATGATGCACGACAGCTCCGACTCGACATCTGTCAAGCCTAATCCGGCTCCGTTCACGGTTGCTGTAGCTAGCTTCGCGAACAAGTTCTGCATTGGTACACTCTATGCTCTAAGCACGCTCCAGGCACAGCTATCTGACTAGCGCTTCGATGATCATTCAAAGCGGGGCTCCTGTCTCCGTCGCCAGGGGCACGACCCTCTGGGGAAATGCAGTCATCAGTGCCGACCTCTCCTTCAAAAGCATCAAATTTGAACTTATGCTTGCAAGCTTTCTGCTTGGCGGACTGGGTATTGGATGGACATACCTCGCTGCGGTCGTGTTGATTGGCCAGGGGCTTCCGAGGCATGCAGTTACTCGAAGTGCTATTGGACCGCTGGGGTTTTCAACTGCTACAGCGGTGTGTTTTCTCTTATCACTTTTTTTCGTGCTTTCTTGCGGATTAGCACGCCTTGCTCTTTCTTAGCGACAACTGCTTGGAAATAAATCCAGTCAATTCTTTCAAGTTATGTACAGTTGATCCAAATATCCCCCGGAACTTAAATCAAAAGTTTACCACTTCTCAAGATACGGACGTAGATCAAATTCAAAGGCAAATGTCGTCCGTGGTTGAGTGTGCAGATACCAATACGAGTCCGCAATCTAAAGCAAGTCAGTGACTAAATCAACACACCAAACGTAATAACACGTACAGCATCGGGGCTCAATTTCGCATCCACGTATTCGTTGGCCAATGCCTTAGTCCGGGGGATGTCAATGATACCGTCAATGATGGTATGTGAGACATGCACACCTTGCGGCCCAAACTCACGAGCGAGTGACTGTGCTAACGCGCGCAGTGCAAACTTTCCTGAGGCAAAGGCAGCAAAGTTAGCCGAACCCTTTAGGCTCGCTGTAGCTCCGGTGAAGATCAGAGTTGGAGGATACTCGGAAAATTCGCGAGAATCCAGCAGGAGCGGGAGAGAGCGTTGAGCGAAGTTGAAAGCACCTTGTCTATTGTATAAATTAGTGCGAACGCCCAAGATTCACATACTTTTGATTTGTTCTCATTGAGAGCAAAATATGTGGGGAAAAAATCGTACGCTTGAGATGCAAGTGCCATTGAGTAATCCTGCTCAGTAAGCTCAAGAAATGGCTTTCGGACTAAGCCGCCGCCAGCATTGAATACAGCGGCGACAACCTTGGATAATGGGAATTGAGCTGCGATCTTATCAAAGGCAGCATTCACGCTCTTTGAGTCCGAGACGTCAGTCCTGATGCCGAAGGCTTGGCCGCCACTGGCATTGATCTCCTGAACGACCGGATCGAAGTTTTCTGGGCTTCGGGCCAGAACAACAACGGAGTAGGCCTTGGCAAACTTCCTGGCGATCGAGGCGCCCTGTACGGTTTGTTAGTGCTGTATCGCTTATATAGTGGGGGTATATGTAGAAGTAGACCGTACTGTGCCAGGGCCAACGCCGGCGATAATTGCGATGGGTTTGGAAGCCATGATTGTTATGGGAATGAAGGCTTTCAGGCGAGTGCAATAAATTAGGAATGGAGGGAAGTTTATGTAAAGGTCTCAAGCAGATTAGTTATTATTGCCGAAGCTTAGAAATGCAGGGGGGATTGATCATCACCTCGGCCGGTAATATCATCTGCAGAGAATGGGCCTGGTGTATTCCCGCATTGGACATTGGCATTGTATTGACTCGTCAGAACCACTGCGGCTAGCTGAGATCTGCAACCTTGCAATGCCCCCTCTTTGTTTCACGGATATAACAAGGGCAACTAATTCTTTTGAATTAGTTGAACTAGCTGGAGGAATGAAAAGAGCGGATGGTCCTTGCTTACATGAGTAGGTAAATGGGGGTGGAAAGTCCGGATTCTCGGAGTGTCGAGAATTCCCTAGTATAAAAATGGAAATCACGAAACAAATGGAACTAAACCATTCCGGGTGTATTTTACTACCCCACTTTCCTCAACATTAACTAATTGTGGGTCAGGCTAACTCGATTTGCAGAGCAGGTGCGCTAGCACGAACCTTAATTAAACCCGCTCCCGTCGGACTGTTGATCAATCCGGCGCTGAACTTCCTATCTTGTCATAATATCTGGTGTTAGCAATCAAGTTGAATGCTGTGCCTGGGCTTTAGCCGACTCTTGTGACTTCGTTCTTGTTGGGCGTCCATCCTTCAATGCCTTCAAGACAACGTTTGGAACACGGCCAGGGTTAAGGCATCAATACCAAATTACCGATACAGCCGAACTTTACTGTTGTACCATTGGACTACTTGAAGTCACATTCGCAACAACGGATTCATTTAGCATGTCCGCAGTCAAACAACACTAGATGGCACCTGAAGTAAAGAGCAGGGGCTTTTGTGTCAACACACTCCTATTGTGCTCACCACATAATCTGCTCGGTCTAGTCCTATATTTTGCTCATATGAAACCCGGTAAACTATTGAAGATTCTTCTATAGCGCTGCTACCCCGAAAATGTCCTGACAGAGTACGCGTAGATTTGTACCAGAAAAGGACTTCATCTTTGCTTGGCTTCAGGTTTCAAATCAGCACCAGATCCCCACTTTTTTTCGGAGCTTAGTTGAAGCCGAGAGCTAACGGTGGCCTGGGACCTGCGAGAGATTTGGTGCCTTTTCGTGCCTTTCCGTGCTTTACCTTGTCGATTTGCTAACTTACATGGAGTTCTGGGCTTCTTTCAGATCCTGAATTATAATTTGGCGTCCCCATCGTCACATGGAATCTATGGTGCACTGCGGATACTGGAAGAGGGAACCGTTCGACCGATCTTACAATAGCGAATGAACTGGCTCTCCACAGCCCTTTTTCTACACAATAATTTGAAGTCTTGAACTCCGAGTCTTATCCCCTTCCAGAACATCTGTGATGTTATATTGATGCCAGATCTGTGTGGTCAGGTCGCCTTTAATACGGAAGACCCGTCCCATGTTTCACTGTTATGATGTGAGGCAGTTGCGGCCCAGTAATGAAGCCGCAACATCGGAAAGAATTTATGGCCGTCTATACGAAGAACAAGTTGAGATTTCAATACTCAGACTTCATGCTGTGTATATGTAGCCTCTTTGTATCCCTCTGAGATGACAACAATCCAAGCTTCCTTCTGATTCGCAATATTTTTTATAAATATTTAGGTCTAAACGAGGATAAAAGTTCTGTGCAATATTATCAAAGCAAGCTAAAACAGTATGGACTAGTATACAACGTAGATGAATGAGATCAAACGGAACCAATCCAAGGATAATAGAATTGATTGAAGAAGGGAGAAACATATTCGAAGGCAGGTTGAAATACGCCCCAAAATGGACCGATACCCGGTGGTTACAACACCGAGATCGCCATGCTAACCAATTTCAAAAAGATATGGATCCAGAAACAATGAATCCTTTGCGGTAAGTTGCCGCTCCATAGTTCTGTCAAGTTTTAATAACCCAATTCTCCGTATTAAGACATATGCTCGTCCATCCAATTATGGGCCACCGCGTACGCTACGATTGCCTCATAATGGAGATTAATGCAATGTCCAATATTATCGAGCACGGTGGCCGAAAAGCTGGTGGCAGCGGGAAACAGAGACGACACGCGGGCTGGACCCGAAGTCTTCCCTTTTCCACATTCGCCGCCCGGCCCTGAGCCTGCCGAGGTCTCATTGACAAAGCAAAATGTCGCATCTTGGTCGCCCGTAATCACCGTCACAGGGCCGGAATAATTGGTCGCAACCTTTGCCAGGCTGGCCGTGGCCATTTCCCCAACGGAGACCGTCTGTTGGATGTCAAAGTCGAGCACAGACACCTGGGGGTCAAAGGTGCCATTGCGGCCGTAAAACGCCTTTTGTCTGCCAGGCAGAGATGACGTTACCAGATATCCGTCATCCAAACTGCCGAATCTGGCCGGAAGTGCGTCCTTTGCCGGTAAGAGCCCGGTTTCCAAGAGGAGCGACGAGTCTGGCTCGGCGGCGTACCCCGTAAGCACGAGGGCATCAACAGCATCGGGGTACGTGGCAGCTAGCTCGACACCAATCATAGATCCGAGTGAATGGCCGACATAAATGACCTTTTTAAACGACTGTCCGCGGATAATCTCTCCCCGCTTTAGCTGCGCGGCAATCTGGTTGGCCACCGCCGCGTGCAGAGGAATTTGGTCGGTGTGAAATGGATTTGGGTGCGAGGAAGCGCCGTCACCCGCACGATCAATCGACAGCGTGGCGTACCCTCTGCGGGTGGCATAGTCCACCCAGGAGTAAAGCCGCGACTGCACGCCCAACATTCCCAGGGCAAACCAGTAGTCCTTGGTGTACGTGATGCCGTGGACGAGCAGTTGAATTGCGTCTCGACGGGGGGAAGGGCCTTTTGGCTCGCAGTAGCGGGCGCTGATATTCAGCGCAGTGGACTCGCGGGCCCAGGTCGAGCTGTTGGATGTCTGTACTAGGTCGAACACCAGGGCGATCACTGCATTGCCATCGGTGAGGACCGAGTCTTCCACTTGACGGTTCCAAGAAGAGACGCGCAAGGGAATGACGAGATCCGAGCAATTAGCGGAGTTGTCCCAGGGTTTGCTGAGTGACGACGAGATGAAGAGAGTGCATAGTGCCACCATCAGATACTGGAAGTTGAACATGGCGTCTTAAATGTGCCGGCTTGAGGAATCAGGCCCGTGGACAAGGTGATATGCAAAGGAGCGTTTATAGACTTCAAGATTCCTGCTTCCCCCTGAGCATAAGAACAAAGGCCACTTCAGCTGATTTCCGTGGATCAGGGCAGCTGTGGATTAAGAGGCAGGTGTAGAGGAATGACCGTCATGGCCAGCCTGGTCGCCCAAGTCAGTCTCTCTCTAATTACATAGCATTATTCATCATTAGTTAGTGGATTAATTAAGTTAAGTGGGCAGGGCGCGCCGCTTTGTAAGTAAGCTTAGTTAACGTAATTCCCGGCCGTGCTGTACATCGCGCGGTCCCGTACACCCCAAACAGCATATAGTAAATGCGATATTTCAGGTGGCTGTATATCAACAACAAGAACATAATATGACTTGAATTTTTGGTAGGACGCTCAGGACAACGTATAAACTCGTATAGACTCCTTTATAAATAGAGTAAATAGTTGTTCACATGTATTACCAAACATAC